CCCCCCCTCCCCTTAATACTGAAACTTAAATGGTCTGAGAATGTTATCAGGTTAGTGTTAAACTTGCACTTAACAACTCTTGTTTTGATAAACATGCAAATCTATTTTAAAAATTCTATGTTTATTTTGAAATTCAAGTTATATTCTAAAATTAAACTCAACTTAGGGTCTGTTTAGGGCAATTGTAGCTTATTTAAAAGTTGTTGTGGCAGGAAGCTACTGTGGATAAGTTGATTATTTGTTTTGTGTAGTCTTAAAATAATTGTGTTGCATGTTGTTTCTAAATAAATGACATTTCTACCCATGTAATATAGTGTTGTTTATAACATAAATATTAATACTATTGCATTTCACGCTTTAAAAGAAATATTTAGTACGAACATTACAAAATTAAAATACATACCTCACTAAACAATGAGTAACATGACAAATAAAATTAGAAAAAGATTATTAAAATAATTAAAAATAATATGACAATAGTATTTTTAAAATGCACTTAATTTATATCATGAGATAGATCGACCTATAATAAAACTCTCCACGCTCAATCACTATCGGACGTGAAATTCTCCATCACATCTGTCCACCTAAAAAAGTCACAACATTCCGCTCTTCTCTTTGGACACATGTAAAACTGTATTTCGTAGCTATGTGATTGTCGTGAAGTAAGTAAAGAATATTATAGTTTGCAGTAGTAGTTCAATGCTTTGGAGGTATCGGAAATCCTAGAGCTCACCTTTCCTGGGAGCTTAAAACAACAAAGCATAGACCCTTAGATGCAATGTTCATGAAAATAAATAATAGAAGTAATCAATTAAAGTTGTATGGAGCTGTGAAATCTCCAAGGACACCTTATATAAACTAACGAATCAGTCACTACAAGAAAACATCTGACCTTATAAAAAAGTGTTCTTAGTTGTCTTTAACCCACACAATTCTGAGCTCGTGCATTCCACATATACATTTCACCAAAAAAGGTCATCTGAAAGAACAACAAAAGTCATTGAACTGAAAAAGGAGAGGAACTTCATTGTCTCCATTCGGAATTCACAAGTGACAAGAACCAATATCGACATATAGGTAATTCAGAAGATTCCTTAAGGTCGATCGTCTCATCATAGAACTTCAAAACAATAAAAAAAAGTAATAAAAATTTATATCTACGATTGCCTCACCTGTCATCCATGTGGGGAAGAATTCTTGCAAAAAATGAGAAATAAAATTGAGATTCAAAATATAGATAATTGGATAAGACATCGATACAATAAATAAAAAAAAAAAATTCATCACACATTACAAATAAAATAACAATAAAAAAGAAAATATAATGGTTCCATTCAATAGGCAACAATCACATATGTAATCCGCTCTCTCAGCTCTATTATAACCCCTACACATACCCAATCTTGGGTGCAACTCTCAGGTAATTCATCTTCTGTCGGTGATGAAAATTGTCCTAGGCGATATTCAAATGCTTCAATAGGGACATGTGAATGATCTTCATCAGTAGGGACATGTGAATGATCTTCATCAACCATGCTGAAATCATCATCATTGCGGGAGGGATACCACCGAATATAGTTATGAAGAGCCATTGTGGTCGCCACAATATGCACTTGGTTAAAAAATGGATATGCCGACTTATCTCGTAGCATGATCCATTTTTTCTTCTAAATCCCAAATGTTCTTCCATTGACACCTTAAAATAACGAGTGTCTCTTGTTAAACATATATTTCCTATCCCGAGCGATATTATTGGCTCTTCTAAAGTTGGGAATGTGATATTTGGTATTCGAAAGTGACATTAGATACCCCCTTTTGTAAGGAATATCTAGTATTGACCAAAAAATATTTATTTGTCAAAAATACAATAATTAGTATTACGGTGAATATAGATCTAATTAGGGTTTATGGTGAAGCAAATCTTAGGGGTGGGTGAGAGAAGTTGTACTGCTGGTTTCTTGTAGCAAATTTGAATATACGGCTGTCGCGTGCACTGTCTTCCCAATTAGTCATAACAAAAGTAAAACATATGTTGAAGTTACATACAATCATTACATTATGTATTGCTGATCCACATCGCCTAATGCATGCGATCTTTTCATTATTCGACACACGTGCATCCATGTGTGTTTTATTGATCACTCTAATATAATTCTAAAAAAATTAATAGGGGCATTTAAAATACTATATTCAACTAACTTCTAGAATTGATGTATAAAAAGAATTACCTTAAAATATGACATATACCGCGAGTCATGTGCAATCTCTATGAGAGTCCTTTCAAATGTTGGGTCGTCTAGCTTAATATTTTTTTATGATGAACTGGCTAGAGCATTCAACCCAATTGAAAAAGTATCTACTGATTGTTTCTAATGAGTGTTGGAATTGCTCCATGACTCATCTCATAGATTTATTTTGTGATAAAGTATAAAGGGTTATTGTCAACACCTCTCTGGAAGTCATTCTAGAGTAGCCATGAAGTCCATGATTACAGTGTAGTTCATCCAGCAGATCGATAAATACAGACAGTGTCATACAACATATTGTTGAATCTCATTGGGTACCTTAAAAGCAGCTCTCCAACCCATTTATCACTAATGTATGAAGATGCCATGCAAGGAGATCAAGCTATGTATGAGCTATAATACTCATACATCAAACACACTACAATTGCAATTCATTTTCTGCGTCTCTCTCTATGTATGTCCATCTTATTCACTACACATTGAGCCATGACATGTAAGGTCAATGCAATTAGCTTCTATCAGAACATTACCCAAACAAACATCAATTATAAATAAACTTGAAAAAATAAAATAATAGTGATTGATGAAAAATAGATATCCAAAACTGCATACTAATGTCATAATTAAAAATAAATATCAAAGCAACATAAACATTATCCCAATGAAAAATAAATATTAATTGTCTAATAAGAAGAAATGACCCTCGAGTGTAATTGTTCTCATGAAAATAACACAAATAAACGGTCAAGAGTTATCTTCATGAAGAACTCTTCTGGGTTAGGCCTTCGAGTAACTTCATAGAGAATAAATACAATGAAATGCCCTCATAAAATTCTAGAGTTACTTTCATAATCCACATAACTTGTTCAATGAAAGTTGCTTGTGAAGTGTCAGGGTCATTAGTGCATGAAACAACTAACTGTGATATTTGGCCTTTAATGAAAGTAACACCTTTTTTCTTTTTCTCAACTTTCAGATGCTCATAACGACTGGTAGATTCAACTTCATTAATGTTAGGGGTCATTAGTGAATGAAGCAACTACATGTGATATTTGAACAAGAAGTTAGCTTGACATCCAGATGATCAGCTATGTCAGCAAACCCTTTCCGGTATGGGTCATTGCATGGCTGCCTGTGGCAACAATTCCACAAAACAAATGGTCCAATTTTTCATCAAGCTCATGATCGATACCACTGAACTTAAACTTTTTATCATTGGAACCACCTATAAAGTAATGGGTATTAATATGTTGACGTAATTGAAGAAGTTAATAATTTATAAGAGAATTCTTGAAACATAATTCTCACATTTAATCTCTCGGCTCGCCATTCTTCAGAAGCATCTATAGTTTGCTTTATAAGGTCCCAACCTGAGCCTTTTGATCCATGCTTCAACAATTTCCATATTTTTGAGTCCTCCTTTAATGGATCCCACTTATTTTTCAACTGTATTCGATCACATTCCCTTCATGTGTGTTTATTGAACTTCTTTATTGTATTTTGTCAACCCTCATTAAAATAACTAGTTTGCCTATTTCCCAATTCCACCTCTTTAAGATAAAGATAAGAAAAGATAAGTTTGATCTCTTGTATCCCACATGGCAGGCGAACCAGTTTCTTTTGCCTTTACTATGATGATTCTAACAGAAAAAATCTTCAAGTAACATAAATGCAAAGTAGATGAAAAAGAAATATATAAAAAAAAAACATAACATGAAACTCCATCTGAAATGAAACATTACAACAAACAATGAACACCAACATCACCACTAACCACACCACCAATATCACCACTAACATGAAAATCCATCTGAAATGAAACATTACAACAACCATGGCACAACATCACCACAAATAGCACCACAACCATGGCGCCAAAGAACCATCCCCAACATTTATACA